TGGAACAAAATACATAATAAATTGCAAGTTATATATAATGCACCATGAAGGTATGAAACACTGCACCATCTTGTGGTAACAAATATGAAATGCAATTTAAAGCAAGCAAAACAGAAAGGTATAGATTATGTCATAATATTACTAATTTCCATTAAGTTATCTTAAAAATAAATCCGATACTACATTTTTCATTTGAAAAAGTAAATACATCCACTTACTTACAAAGTAACAGGACTATTTTCCCATGATCTTTCTGCTTCAAGTTTATCTAATGAACATGGACTGTCATCCTTTTTCATAGACCTTGGTAATTCTTCAGTACACTCTTCTAGATTTCTTTTGGCCTTCAGGATAAGCAATTCAATTTTGTCACCTAATTTTTAAAAATTGTATTAGTTCTTTAAGGAAAAAATAAAGTACAACTAAATCTCAAAATCAGTAAGATAATTTAGAATATACACATTTATAACAGCAAATTATGTCAAAATGTGACCCCTCAAGCAAAGATAAAGGAAAAAACAGACACTAATATAGTTACAAAATGTTATATAAATGAAGATCATAAGCATTCTAAAAAGCTATATACTTATATCAAAAATAAAACAAACGCTCATAGAAGGTTAAGTCAAATTTATAGCACTTCCTTGGTTAAAAAAAAAACTGAAAACAAAATATTACCACTGAAAGGCTTTTTGGATTGTCCTGGAAGAAGTGGAGTTTCACATTTACATTGGCTATGTTCAGAATCACACTTGCATTCATTAACAAGATGTTTATCACCACATAAGGGATTTGAAAAATGTGAAGGTTCCAAAGAACATTCCAAACACTCTACTTTATTCATAAGTCCAGTTCTTTGTGCCTGATAACTATGTCTAGGGAAACAATGTTCTTCTTTAGGAACCCTTTGACTATTTGCATCGGGTAACAAGTCTTGACTGTGGAGCCAGATTGGGTATTTAAAATCAGGAATACTTGTTATCCCTGAAACATTAAGATCAGATTTCTGGCTAGTAAGCCATCTCGGATAATTCTTTTCAAGACCATATTCTGAATAGCCCTTGAAAGATTCTTTAGAAAAAGATAAAGATGAATCAAAAACACATTTATTAGTCTTATTTGTAAGTTTTAGGTTTTTCAGTCTAGCACATTGTTTTCGATTTGTGTACACAACTGGAGTAACTAAGTTATCCATGCCCATGGGAGTGAAAGCCTCTTGAAAATCTGGATTCTTTTCAATGTCCAATGAACCCGATTTTCTAATGTATTTCTTGTTTTTCTTTCTTGTTCGGTGACCTTGTCCAACATAAGTGAAAGAAAATGATCCATCTGCTGGAAGTCTTAACAGATCGTCAGTTGTTAGGCTAATGGAGTCTATGTCATTAATAGGCTCTCTTCTATAGGATAAGAAGTATGAGTGCTCTTTGTGATCAAGATTTTCAAAGGCTGAAAAACAAAGCATAGTTCTGCTTATCTTTATTACATACAAATATAATATCCAACAGTAAGTGCAAATTAAGAATTTACAAATCTTTTTTGCTTCTTTTATCTTCACTTTTAGTGAGACTTTTATCTCACTAAAGTTTTGAAGGTTTAAAACATACAGATTGATAAAATAGAATGTCCTTTCTTTTTCATATCTTCAATATTTAATTTCTACATGTTCATCTCCAACCACTTGAATTGTCCTGTATTCTCATTCACCATTTCTTCAACAGTTTTCATCTAGACATACCTGATGTGCTAATACAATCATGTTAATACTGGCCATTCAATATTGGTTGTAGCATAGAAAAAAACATGCTAACAAACTGGGTGGAAAAATAATTTGCTATCTTTCATATTCACCCTACAACAGCATGGTTACACGCAGTGAAAAGCTGTGCTCATTTTCTTCTGAAATATATCATCTACAGTTGATTACAAACTTTTTCAATTCTAGGCACATGCTGTTAAGTGCTCAGTAAAGTGCTAACTAGTTCATCAACAACTGCATTTTCCAGACTCATCTTCATGGAGGCTTTATCAAAGATAAACTCTTAATATTTTGTGATTATTGACCCACACAGAATACAGCTCAAAAAGACAAATATAATCTTATTCCACCAAGTGAAACTGAGCAAGTAAACTCTGAAATGTTGAAGTTTAAAACCATTAAGTTAATGAAAGCCAGAACCACTGCATCAATGTTGTTACCATTATGTTATATTAAAATGACAAGTTTAAAATCAACCACCTATTTATTAGTTACATTCATTAGCTTCCCCTCCAAGGTCAAAAGAGGATCTTAGCTGAAATTTCCTGGAGACTGGAGAACTATACAAAGATCTTACAAAAATATTCAGGTATCAGTATCATAAAAGTTATTTTTTAACAAAAAAATGTCGAACTGGGATGGGGATTTAGCTCAGTGGTTCTGCTGCCTGCCTGGCAAGCACAAGGTTCTGAGTTCCATCCCCAGCAGCAAAAAAGAAAAGTCAAACTTTGTAAGGCTACAGCACATCTCTCAAATACTTCAAATCACCAGACACAAAGAAAACAAAGAATAAAAGCATACCATTGCTTGGTTTAGAAATATAATTGGAGAAGTGTGGATTAGCAGCACCCTCATCAATGTTAATTTTTCCAGTGCTTGTACCAGGATACATCTGGCTTAGATCGAAATCATCAATGTAGGCCTGGAGAGCCTGAGAAGCAGAATTGTACAGTTTATCCTTATAGTGAAAAGAGCCACCAGAGTTAGAGGAATTGCTACTACTTAGGCTGCAGCTTGCCAGGAGAGAAGATATTGAAGATTCTTGAGAACAAACTCTGTGTTTTGATTTTGCCATGGCTTCCTCAAAATTTTTAGGCATTTCCCTTACAAAACAGCTGTAATACAAAAATAACAGGATAAAGTGCCAATTAAAAGGAATGTCTATATGCAAAGAATATATATAAACTTTTAAATTTTTCCATTAAGGAGTAAAATCAGATATCTATAATAGGCAGTCCTAGTTGGGTATTGTATGTTTTCTATTGTCTACTGTGAATTATGTCATCAATGATTTAGAAAACATTAAGTACCTACTATGTGGCTGATGTATATAAAAATTATATAAGAATATACATGGAAAAACCAAGGAACAAATACTTGCTTTTTTTAAAGTCCTAAAAACTACTGTTAAGTCTTTTCTTCTTACAGCGATATATTCTGACACTACAATACCCAATATTCCCCTACACACATTATTTTTCAAATCGTCAGTGCCTACTACCATACACTAAAGATAATAAGATGGTAAATAATGTTTTTTCAAGACACCAGGCTTTAGAAAGAAGCTTTAGAAATAAGAAGGGGTTGGTTCTCAGATTTTGAGAGTAGAAACAAGGACAAACAATTGGAGACTATTCACTGTCAATATTGTAAGCGCCAATATGAAATTGTAGCCTTTCCACAAAAAGGACTGGAGAACAAATTAATTTATAATATGCATCTGTGAAGTCTCAGTTCAGAACGAGCTAGTAATTATGCCCTTCTCTTAAAATAACATTGCTGAATGATCACTTCCTGACCTTCATTTTGGTTACCACCTTCTCTATTTTCCATTCTTCTGTTAAACAGATTCAGCTCACCTCTCCTTTAAAGGAAGCTTAAATAATTTGTAAATAGACAATGTATTCATCTTGCTCTTTTTCCATTACTAAAATTGAGAGAACTCCTGTCAATGTTAGTACTTCAATAAGAGGACTTATATTTGAAAACTCAATAACAGAATAGGCAAGGTACTCAGTATATTATATTAAATTCATTGAAAATGGAAGAATTTTCCATATTAAAAAGAATGTCTAGGTCTTAACACATATTGTGATGTCGTAGAGTCAGATATATTTAATGTTGTACTATAATTTTGGAAATATTTGTAATTTATAGCTCTTAATGTTATCTTAGCAACTGTCAATTTTGACTTTATGGAAATTTTTTAAAGATGAGGTGAAGTAAAATATCTTCCTGTCACAGCCGCAGAGCATGCCTTCCCAGATTTGACTGTGGCTACTGGAAGAAACACCAGAAGATAATGACTATTTAACCTGTTTCTTGTCCCTGAATGCTGTAACAATGGAAGAATACCTCGATTAATCTTTGAGCTAAATCCCCAGCAACCTTTGCCCTTTTTTTACTGCCCTCCCACCACTAAAGAAGTGTAATTCAAGTTAATTTGCTTGTATAAACATAAGTGAACAGTTTCCTCCTTTACTTGACACAGAATAGGTTACCGATTTTATTTTGCAAAACTTTAAAAACAAATGCAAAACTTTTAACGTTCTCATTAAAGTGATATTTTACTATTTTAATTCACAGGACTGACAAAAAGAAAATCCACAATATAACTTTTATTATTGACACTTTTCAAACGTCTGCAAAAGTAGAACAGTTTAATAAACTCCTATGCTTCCAGGAACCATCATCAACATATCTCAATTTTTTACGCACAACCCCACCCACTTCCACCACGGGATTATTTTGAACCCCATATACTGTAAGCAAATCCCAAACATCTTACCATTTCCTCCGCAAAAGTTTCAGTTCGAATCTCCAAAAGCAAATCCATCATGGCAAAAAGAAAGTTAAAGTCAGGGCGAGACATTTCAACGACCTTGATTCAAAAACAGAATGTTCAGAGTTAAATAACCAACAGGACACTGCATGGTTAGTTAAGAACAATTCTTGCAAACAGCAGCTCGGCGATCTGTTTCGCAAGTGAACGCTACCGCATTCCGCGGCAGAAAGGGGACCGACGTTCTCGGAAAGCGAAGGCTCCCCGCGCCCCTGGGCTGAAGCCCAACCCGGCCGAGCTAGTTTCAAACTTTCCCAACCAGCTTTAGTTAACCCCCTCGCCTCGGTCTTCCACGGCCCCTGTCACGCAGACACGGTCCTCGAAAGGAGTTACTTCTCTCTCTCTCTGAAACCTTTTATTTGGCAGCAGCCCCTTAAGTGCAAGCCGCGTGCCTGGCGCCCCTCCAAGCCCTGAGCCCGCGCTCCCCGAGGTCCTGGCCGGGTAGCTCAGTCCCTAGAGCGACCTTCCAGGGGTCGCCCTCCCTGGGGAGCCGCCCTGCTCCGCCCTCCTCGCCGCCCACCCCTCAGCCTTTCCCTCACCTGTCAAAGGACGGGAGAGCTCCCTCCCTTCCCGGCCCAAGTCACCCACTAATGCCCAGAGATTTTAAACGCACACTTCCACAGCTCTCTGCCAAAGCCCGGGTGTGTTACAGGACTGCCGACGCGACGGAGAATCCGCGCCCCGCACACTGGCCCGCCTCAGACTCTCTCGGCTCGCAGTCCCCTCCGCCGTCACAGCAGAACTCGACGCCCGCGCTCGCTTTCAAACCGACCCAACATGGCGCCGGCTTGAGGTGCGCGTGCGCGGCGCTCAGCGCGAGGGCCCAGAGCCGAGGGTGCTGGGGTGGAACCAGAGGCGACCCGGCGAGGACTTGGGGCCTGGTCCCTGCTAGGAGGTGCAGTTTCTGCGGCGGCGTCTTTCAGGGTTGGGAGGGAATGCTTCTGGGCTGTGTCCCACGCCCTCCCGAGCCCATCACCGCTGTTCTCGGCCACTCGGCTCAGCGGACTGGCTCATCTTTCTTTGGCCGCCCCGGGGCCGTGGGAGGGGGGTACCCAGAAGAGAAGGAGACTTAGTTAGCGGCCCTGGCAGCTGCAGTTCCGGTCGCTGCGAGCCAGCCTCACAGCCCCAGTCCTTTCAGAAGTTCTCAGCCTCCTTGCTCTCAGAGCATCCCCGCCCGAGAGGAGACAACATTTCAGCCTGAGGGCGGCTCCCCTACAGCTTCCTTCTTCCTCAGCCCCTTCCCTTTCCCCTTCCCACTGGGGAGCCTTGGCCCTCCAAGGCTTTCGTCCAGCCAGCTCCTCAAATACAAAAGCAGGTGCAGGATTGGAGAAGGAAATTCCTCCAGGGTCAGGAAGAATGACAGTGCCCTAACACGGATTGAGGGTCCCAGTTAGGCAGCCCAGAGAAAGGGCGATTATAGGAACAGGAGTAAAGATCCCTTAACCACACATGTGAACCTATCTACAAAGGCTAGGGCGGGATATGAGGTGCAAAGAATCCGGTTTCAACCTAGGGGACTGTCAAAAAAAACCAAAGATACCATCTCAATAGTGGTTTATGTTTACTTTCCACTGACCCTATGGGTGAAGATATCCTGGACCGATGCTCCATCTGAATATGTTCCAGTTCATCTGATGTTACATCACCAGGTAGTAGAACTGTACTCTATTTGTTCTTTTTTTCCCGCCCCCTGTATGTAGCCTACTAAACTTTACCTTCCAATTTCTCTTAGCAAATGTGAAAGTTCAGAAGGTATGAAATTCAGTTCAGTGATTCACTTAAGTACATCCATTGTGTCGGTGTTAGGGATATGAAAAATATAAAACACAATCCCTACAGGAGTTTACAGCTAGTAATAACTTCTGATCTGAAAAATTTCTAGGTCAGTCGAGATCAAGTTAAGTTGCTGATAGGAAATAAGAAACTATTTTATGTGCTAGGACAAGTCCAGGTCAGGGATCAGACGGATTGTTAATGGCATCAGTGTAAAAAATTAGATTTTTTTAACCCACATTCTATCTAAATACTTTTTTTAAAGTGTCCTCCTTTAAAATAATTATTTAAAGGTTCTTCGTAAATTGTATCTTTAAAGTTTTTCACTACCTTTTTCCTGTAGCAGATGTTTCCTAATAAAGACAGTGTAAGTGAAGCACAGTAAGAAGATAAAAAAAAATTTATCAAATATTTTGGCCCAATTCATGGATCAAAGTAATTCTACTTCTTTGTTCCCTTACAGGTTAACACATATGGAGATTTCCACAAGAATTTAGAGAAGGGTCCCAATGGTTACTAAAATTCTGGACTCGATTTGTTAGGAAAGGTAAAGAAACAAGGACTGTACCAGGAAAGAGGTTATTCTAATATAAAAAAAAAAAATCATCCAGCTGTTGTACTTTGCTGGAGAAATAAACAAGAAAATTATGATCCAACCTAAAGAGTTTTAGATGACACCTAAGAAAGAAATGTTCTGATAATTAAACTTTAAAGTTTATTGAAGTGCTTAAGAAAGCAGTTCTTTGAAGAATTTTTAATGATGGTTTTAAATGTGCCCATTTTAAGAAAAGAAACTAAGCTTTTGGATCACCTATAGCAAGGCCCTTCATAGTGTTAAGCATTGAACTCAATCCTTATAGATTGCATGAGATAAGTATTATTATTGCCATTCTATAAACATGGGAATTGTAGTTCAAAGGTTAAGCATCTTACCGAAAATAATACAGCTGTTGGTTAGTAGCAAAGTCAGAATTTAAATCCTGGTCTGTTTGCATGTTCTTTGCACCATACCTGCCAGCTTTGTCTAACTGAAAACAGGCTGAGACGCCAGAGGACTACAGCTTTCTGAACTCATTCACAGCAGAAGCAGTATTGTTCTCAACTGTTTTTGCTGTACCTGCCACTGTACCTTTCTTAGTCCTTTTGGGCCGCTACAACAGATTACCTAGACTGGCTGGCTTATCAGTCTTATAAACAGTAAAAATGTATGGGTTCACAGTTCCAAAGGCTGGAATTTGAGATTAGGGTGCCATCATAATTGGTTTCTGGTGAGGGCCTCTTCCAGAATGCAAACTTGCCACTTTCTGGCTATGTCTTCACATGTCTGAAGAGGCAAATGAGCTCTCTAAAGTCTTCTATAAGGACACTAATCCCATTCATAAGGCCTCTGCCCTTGTGACCTAATCACCTCCCAAATGCCCCACCTCTGATACTATTTTATTGGAGACTGAGATTTCAACACAAGAATTTCAGGGGGCAAAAACATTAGTCCATTGCAGTATGTACCTAACTTGAAGTAGGAGTTCAGTAAATGTGTTTGAATTGAATTGATTTAAACTTCATCCTGAGATGGTGGCATTTAAGCAGATACACATGAGTCAGTCGTGTGAACATACTAAGCAGGAATTTTCCAAGCAGAAGAAACAGCAAGTACAAAGATGCTGAGGTAGGAAGTTGCCTAGTTATATTTTAAACTGATAAGAACAAATACTACACTTGATCTTAGCCAAAAGGCCGAGAAGCAAGTGCCTAGTTATAGTTGAGGAGCAGCCAGGAGTTCAGTATGATTGGAGCTACGTAGACAAGAAGGCACCTAGTAGGAGGTATGTTTGAAGAGGAAGCCACGGGTCAGATCATGTACTGTCTCTGACACACGCTTGGAAAGATTAAGTCCAGAGAGCATGTTGTGATACATTACAGGGAAAGGAAACATATAAGAAATAATAATTATTTATTGCGTGACTATTATGTGCCAGTCTCTGGGGTAGAATATTTATGTGCATTATCTCAATCCTCACACACATTCTACAAGGCATGTATTATCCCAGCTTTATACCAAAAGGAAAATGAGAAAACAAATTGTAAGTAAAATACTGCAAACAATAAGTGACAGAGACAGGCTCCTTACCAGATATCTTTGCTTCGAAAGCCTGGGTTTTTCCACTTTGCCACAGATTTTCATTTGAAAGACTGTAAGAAGAAAAGGTTCATGCATACAGTGAACAAGTAATTATTGTGTGTTCATAGGTGACATATTGTAGCAATAGTACTAATGAGTAATGTAGCATTGTAAAAGTTTTTATTGGAGCCAGGCATCATGACACATGCCTGTAATCCCAGCTACTCAAGAGGCTGAGGCTGGAAAACTGCTTGAGCCCACAAGTTCAAGAATAACTTGGGCAACATGGTAAGACCCTGTTTCGAAAACACAGTATTTTTATGATTACATTCTTACTAGTCATTTGTTTTTAAAACTTTACAGATAGATGGACTATAAGGCAGTTGCCCAACAAACTGCCCAAGAAGTTTTTGGTTACAATCAAGATACATCTGGATGGAAAGTGGTTAAAAATTCAGTAAGAAAACAATCATATTTCAAGAATTTATTTTTTAATGAGAATTCATTGTAAAGACATTTCTTAAAAATATTTTTCTTTTACCAAGCAGAAAAAATATTTTTACTTTTGTTTTTTCACTTTCATTGTTTTCTACATGTGACAATTTACTTGTGGATTTTTATTTCCCTTTGAGAAAAAGATAACTGTTTCCATCAAGGCTTCTAAAAGATTTGTCGGAAATATGTGAGTACAGTTTTCTATTTGTAATCATTGTTTTAAATTCAGTGGCACCACTGAATCTGGAATTTAGTGCTGCTTCATTAACTACAGCAAATTATTGGGTAGTAAATAGAAATTAGGCTGCAATATGATATTAATAAAACAGTGATTATGTACCATCTAATCATTTATTTATTCATTTATTTTCAAACCTGAAAATAGTCACCTACCCTGCCAAAAAGAACTTTTCTTGGCTGGCAGTATAGTTCAGTGGTAGAGTATTTGCCTGCCGTGCATGAGGCTCTGAGTTTGAGTCCCACAAAAACAAATACCCCTACTAAGGAAAAACTCACTAAAATAGGAAATCTCCACTTCAAGAAATAACTAGTATACAAGCAGATTGCTATGTTCTTGCTAAAAGTTGTACTGTATTTAATAGCCTTAAACTACTAAAAAGTAGAGGTTTTTTCCCCTCATTTATTTTCCTGCTATATGCTTCTGTTTTTCCCAAAAACTGCTTTTAAGGATATTTTTGAAGATACTACTATTTCAAATATGATTATCTTTGAACACTTATAAACATGAAAAGGGAGGCCTGGGGATTTAGCTCAGTGGTTCCGCCACCTGCCCTGCAAGTGCAAGGACCCAAGTTTGATCCCCGGTACCAAAAAGAAATAAAAAGAAAAGGGAGCCAGTTGTTTCATAAGAATTTATTTCCTTTTTGCCCTTAAGGGATGAAATACAAACTTAACAGCACACAGTTCAGCCTATACATTTCCCTAAATATTAGAGGCTGCTCACATGTATTAATCTCATTATACATCAGGCATTATGACAGTTGCTTTATTTTTAAATTTACTCCTCATGTATCTCACAATGTAAGCACTGCTATTATCGTCATTTTACAGATGAATACATTACTATCCCAAAGTCTCCTAGCTCATAAATGCTGGTGAGACAAAAACTTTTAAAAGCCAAGACTTCGCTGCAGAAGCTTGATGTACTTTCTTAATCATCATTTTCGCTGACTTCCCCCAAACTAGCTTTGGAATAATTGAGGCAGATTATCCAGAAGAGTTTAGTATTGTACCTTTTCCACCTTTAGACATTTCATGGTGGTTATGTTTAGGTCTAAATGTCCCCTCAAGCCTCATTCAGTCAGAGGTGGCTTTTTCAGAGATGGCTGAATCTACAGTGTGTGATGCTGGGATTAAGGGTGTGTGATTACTAAACCAGTATACTGATTGATTTGGCATCGCCCTAATCCCGGTAGTCTGGATAAGATAAAAGGGGCAGAAAGATGCTGTTAAGGTTCCCTTGTTGCTTTGCTACCTTCGATCTGCCACGAACTAACTGTTGCCCCTCTGCCATGTGCCACCCTGCCTTGGAGCCAGCCGATGATAGACTGAAGCCTCTACAAACTGAGCTAAATAAACCTTTCCCCTTTTAACTTTGGGTGTTGGGTATTTTGTCTCAGTGCAGAAAAGTAACTAAGACAGTGGTTATGTAACCTACTACTTTTTTCTCCTCTGCTAGTTATTTTCATACTTTTTGTTATAATCACCATTACCACCACTACATTTAATTCTTCTACTCTCTGAGGCAGACAAATGAGACATTTTTGTAAATATTTTAAATTAAAGCATTCAAGTTAAAATGGGCTGAAATTTTTAAAGCGACAATGAATACATTTTCTGTGACCAAAATGAAGAATACTAACTTAGCCCAGTATTCATCCTGGCTCAGTATCTTCTAAACCTTGAGTTTTGAAATTCTTCTTGACTATCAAAATAATGCAGATATTGTTAGTAAGATAATGTGAAAAGTGTTAAGCTCTGCTGCCCTCTCACTTTATGGAGAACTTTGGGATGAAAATTTGTTACTCAGTGGTGAGTTTGTAGGATTCTTTAAAAACAGAATCTGGAGGGCCGGGGATTTAGCTCAGTGATTCCGGCCCCTCCCTTGCAAGCGCAAGGTTCTGAGTTCAATCCCTGGTACCAAAAAATAACCAGAATCTGGGATTTAGACTAGGTCATTCCACACACTTCTGTACTTCACAAGTAAGAGAATCAGTATCATCAGTAACACCAACACTTTAATATTGTCCATCCCTAACACTGTCAGGAATAACTATTAAAGGGTCTTCTAGATTGTCTAAAAAGAGCTGCAGTCCCCTTCTTACCCTCATATTCTTGTGCTTTTAGCTCTTAATTTACCACCCTGTTCAATAAATTTTTTATTTCATTGCCTGCATGACTACCAGGCTGAAGTATGTAAGGGTAGAAAATCTCATGTCCTAGCTGGGCATAGCGATACACACGTGTAGTCCTAACACTCAGGATGCTGCAGCAGGAAGAACATGAGCTCAAGGCCCGCTGAGTTGGAGGCGGGGGAGCTACATAGTAATTTCAAGACCAACCTGTACTACATGGAAAGACCCTGTCCAAAAAAAAAAAAAAGGAAGGAAAGAAAAAGGGGGAGGAAAAAGCATATTTAAATATTTGACCACTCAGCAGGGCATGGTGGTGCAAGCCTGTAATCCCAGCACTTGGGAGGCTGAGGAAGGAGGATCTCTGAGACCCTGTCTCAAAAAAAAGAGACATATTTCACCACTCAATGAAAGAATGCTATTAAAAGACTAGGGGTAGTTATTATCAGTATTTATATATAAATAACTGCTTTAAGAAAGATACCTAATTAGACATTAGTTGGAAATACAAAAAGATTAAAAGTTTCTTATACTCAAAGTTTACAATATAGAAAGCGAAAACAGAGAATAAAAACAAACCATGGCAGTAATATAGACCTTTGAACAACAGTTTTATGCTTAAATTCTGTTTCTTATCTGACTTTTTGCAGGACCTAGAATTACTCAGATGGTTTTCTCACTATCTCATACAGAACTTAATAATAAACTCTTTAAAAACTTTGCTAACATGAAGGAAAGAAACCCTACATTAAGGAATTTGATGATGTCTCATAGAGAAAATAAGGAAACAACTGAGCTTTAAAGGAAAATTAATAATCAAAGAAAAAAGAGTTCCTTATGTGTTTACCCCAAATCATAAGAGTAATAACCTTTCACAGTATGAAGACTACTTTCCAGAATGATAGCATTTAGTTTTCTTCTCACTTTGAGGGAAAATCTT